ACAAATGATTAAACTCAATTATCTCAAAATTGTTTATATTGCAAAATGGGCCCTTTTAATATGAAAGACCCTATATAGTTTGAGTTGTTAGCTAATCTATAAATTTTCAGTGTAGGGTAATGAATATGTACACAAGGTCCTGTTCGTTGGACTGCTCCCTCTAGGCCAAGCAAGTTTCCTTTCTGGACTTAACAATGTTGGGCATTACCCAATGCATATCTTACCCGGTACACATGGGCATGCCTATTTCTCAGACATGTTTGGTTTCACGGAGAAAGAAGTTGAGTTCTTGCTAAGTAAAAGTGATCGGAAATCTGAACTCGATAATTTGTGCACTCATTACAATAGATATCGAACAAGTACCAATGAGCGTATCTACAACCCTCACTCAGTTATATCATCCTTGCAAAAGGTTATTGTCGGGGATTACTGGATAAATAGTGGTCAAGCATTTACAATTAAAGAATGTCTAAAAAAATGTAGCCAAGATATTGAAGATCAGCTTCAAAGTCTTTACTATGCATTTTATTCATTGCAAGATGATGATTCGTTACAAAACCAGGTTAAAGTGAAACTCATGCCACATCTCTGATACGACGTTCTCGTGAATAAGCCAGACATAAACACGATCTACACATTACTGTGTTATAGTGGCTACTTGATCGTAAAATTTGATAATGAATTCAAAACCAAACTTGTTATACCAAACAAGGAAGTTGCTAAACAATGGAAAGAGTGGATTATCGATTTCTTAGGTGTAGATCAGCTAAAAGTGAATGAAATATTTAATTCGTTATTCAAGAAAGATATCAAGACGGTTTGTGAACAATTTCTCGCTCTTTATATTGAAATGGTTTCCTATCATGATATTGGTGATTCTAAAAGAGCTAGATCATATGAGAGTCAGTACCATAATTTTATCCTTGGAGCACTTTCAATGTATCATGGTGATGATTACCAGGTTTTGTCCAATCGTGAAAGTGGGAATGGTCACTTCGATATCTGCATTAACCTAGTTAACCAAAAATTCGATACTTGTATCATTTTTGAGTTTAAACTTGCTGAATCGGAAGACCGTGATAAAATGAAAACTAGCACTAAGAATGGGCTAGATCAAATTGCTGATAGGAACTATCGGTCAAATACTAAAAACTATATCGAGACGATAGTTGAGGTTGCTATTGCCTTCTGTAAAAAAAGCAGCTTCGTCTCTGCTCAACTTTTACGATGTAAAAAAGATGAAAAAAAAGGTAAACTTTCAACAAATGCTTGGGAAATTTATTCATAAGAAGAATCGTGTTAGAAAGAAGAACTTTATCAACAATTACATATGTGTTATTAATATTTTGAAACATTTATTGTGACGCATGTTATTCACTCTTGCTGTTAATTCTTTTCTCTGGATTTTAATATTTATAAATAATAAAGTTATGCTTGTATAATTACGATTAGCTTAATAGACATAGCCTGTAAGCATTGTATTGTAATGCTATAAAGGCTCAAAAATTATTTTTTATAAAATATTTAGAAAATTTTGTTTGTCTGATTTTT